GGGGGGGGGGGGGGGGAGCGGAGGCTGCGTAGGAAGCTCTGGGGGTTTGGCATTGGTTTGTCCAGGATAGCGCAGGCAGCAAAGTTTGGGGGGGTGGAGCTTGAGCGGCGAAATTGAGGGGGGATCCAGGCGAATGGTGGTGTGAAGCAGGAGGGGAGGGGAGGGGAGCGTCCATCACGAGTACGGTGACCACACGAAAGCTGACTTCCAGATGATCAAAGCCTGGCTGTTGGCTGTGCCTGAGGCAATGTGGGAGTAAGCAAATAAATACACACCCACACTTGTACGTATGTCACCCGGTTGAACACTACCACGCAAGCTGTCGCCCAGGCATACAACCCTTGCTATGCAATCCTGGCCTCGTCCGTTGCCCGGCATGGGGGCGCCTCCATCCCCTGGCCAGGTGATCTACGACCTGCTGCTCAAGAACAGCGGCCCCCTGGAGCTGCGGGAGGACCCTGACCAAGGGGTCTGCGTGGCGGGGCTCAAGCGCATACAGGTGGGTGGGGTCGGGCAGGGGCGGGCCGCGGTCGTCGTCACGGTGATCGCGGGGTTGGGGTAGACCTGGAGATTAGGGCAGGGATGGGGCGTCGAGTGGGGCCAGCTCACAGATTTGACCTGCTGCCTGTGAGCAGCCAGGTCACATGCACAATCTTTTGCATCGTACCCAGCCCTCCGGCCTGGGGGATGAGTTTCGAACATATGTGATGGCCTCACAAACGTGGGTGCTGCTTGTGCAGGTGTCCAGCCCAGAGGAGATCATGGGTCTGCTGGAGGAGGGCAACAAGCGGCGCAAGACAGACAGCACGGACGCAAACGCCACCAGCTCGCGGTCGCACGCGGTGGGTGCGGTGCTGTCGGGGGATTAAAGCAGCGGCGGTCTTCAGACGCGCGGGGCCCCTGCTCCTGGGTGCCAGCGCGTTGATCGAGTCCGAAGGTGCTGCCAGCACCCGTATCCTCTCCCTGAAGGGTGAAAGTCGTGGCGCTGCTTGCGCCTTGCGGCGCCCTTTGCTCCTTGCAGCTCTTCTCCCTGTGTCCAGAGGCGCACCGCGCCCTCTCCTCGACTCCCTCTGATTTCCAAAATCGATTACTGCCGCCTCATCCAAACCGCAGGTCTTGGAGATCCTTGTGCGGCGCGTGCCGCGCGACCAATACCGCGCGCAGGCGCTGCTGGGAAAACTCAGCCTGGTCGATCTGGCCGGCAGCGAGTGAGGCGCACTGCGTGGCGCTGTTTTGCTGGTCAAAGAGGGACAGGGCAGCGGGTCTGTCGCCGTGCCGTTTCCCGTCTCCCGCTCACGCACCTCTCCCTGCCCCGGATGCCGAGCCCCAGCGGCCAGCACTTAACCCTAAACCCTAAAACAAAACTCTCACTGCGTCCACTGTGCAGGCGCGCCGCGGAGACCAACAATGTGGGCCAGAAGCTGCGCGACGGCGCCAACATCAACCGCTCCCTGCTGGCCCTTGCCAACTGCATCAACGCGCTCGGCAAGAACGCCAAGACCGGTGCCGCATACGTGAGCTTGCGGGTTGCCTGCGCCGCCCCTTGATTCTCTTTCCACGAGGGAGGCAGCTGACCTCGTTGCACAGGATTGCATCTGCCATTGAGGAATAGCAGCCAGGCTGGTCCCCATGCGTGTCGCCAGGGTATGCCAATGCCCATCTTGGGTTTGATGCTGTGCGGAATGCCACGCTCACTCACCACGCAGGTGCCCTACCGCAATTCAAAGCTGACAAGGTTGGCTGGCGAGGGCCTGATATCGCAGGGGTTATGTGAACCTATGGCTGTGGATCCAACACAAGCCAGAAGGCGCAAGCACTGCCGAAGCGGACCCAGCCGACATCTCCCCGCCCTGCCCCGCTGATGGGCGGCATCACCGTCTCGCCAGTTCTGCATCTCATCACTACTGCAGCAGGCCCCATGCACTCCGCACCTTGCCCCACTCTTTTGCCCCTGCCTCCCCCCCCCCACTCCCACCACTCCCACCCAGGCTGCTGAAGGACGGCCTAAGCGGCAACAGCCGCACCGCCATGGTGGCCACGGTTGCGGCGGCAGGCGATCAGTACTACAATTCGGTCAACACATTGAAGTATGCAGATAGGTAAGCGGGCCCGCGTTGGGCCAGGGATCAGGCATAAGGGTGGGGGTGATTTGCACTTGTAACAAAGGGGCGGGGAACCGCACGGATCAACCTAGGAGTGACAGGGCAGGGCCGATGATGGATCCTTACTACGGCTACAATGCCGTCAAGGTGTCGCATTTTTTGATGGAATACACAACACCCAATGGTTACAACTCCATTACCGCAAAACAAGCAGTGCGCAGCACTGGGTGGATATGGGCACAAGCAGGTGCATTGCAAAAAAGGGCTCAGCATCAAGGCTCACAAATCATTACTACAGGCGGCTCGAACCTCGGCCTCACCCAAACCCCAAAACCCCAAGGGCCAAGGAGATCAAGACCCACGTGGTTCCAAACCTCGGCAGCGTCGAGCGCCACATCAGCGATTACCAGTCCATCATAGACACCCTCCAGACCGAAGTCCAGTCGCTGCGCGCCAAGCTCGCGCCAGCTGGCGATGCATCCTCAGGCCCGTCGTTCACGGGCAGCCCCGGCGCCGGTCCGCACGGCGCTGCCGCTCCGCGCGGCCCCGGCGCTGGAGCTGCGCAAAGCCCTGCGGACGCCGCGGGCAAGGGCGGCGCGGCGGGCGCGGGCGCGGGCGGGAGTGGGGAGGCGGACACGCTGTCGTGGCTGGACGCGCTGGCTACTGAGATCAACGAGAACGTTGAGGAGCGCATCAACCTGCAGAAGGCGCTGTATGAGCTGGAGGACATCAACGTGTGCAACAAGTACGAGCTGCAAAACATACAGGAGATGCTGGATGCTGGTGAGCGGGCCAATGGGTCTGGGCCAGTGTGTTGGTGGGCGGGTGGGGCCAAGGGTGGGCGTGAGAAAGCAGGGAATAAGAAAGGCTGAACGGACAACCGAGCCTGGGGTGTGGGCTTGGAGGGTGGGCCGGGGATGGGTGGCTGAGTTGACCCAGGCAGTGGGACATGTGTTGCAGGGAAAAAGAAGTATGCAAGCAGGGCGAGGGCATCAGCGGGGCTTGCGGGCGGCAGCTGAGCCTCCCAGCACAAGCGTTCTTCAAATGCATAGCTTCCAGCCTGCCTCATGCGTTGTATGGTGTTGGCCACACAACCTCAAGTTCAGACATGCCTGCATCTCAACAGCAATCAACTGGCGAAGGCCTACGTTGCTAGCACCCACCAAATGCTGCCCCGAGCGAGCAGGCAGCGCCACGGATGCGGAGCGTGCGGAGGCGCTGGAGCGGCGTGCGGCGCTGCAAGAGGAGGTGTCCGGCAATGAGGCCGAGGCGCAGTGCTACAGGGACGACATCGCGGCCAACGAGGCGGGGCGGCGCGAAATCCAGGGCAAGGTCAGTCTGTCTGTCGTCGGGTTGCCGGCAAGAATGCCCGCTGCCGCTCGTCGCATGAAGTGGCAATGCTGTTCGTGCAGCTGTGCGTCAGGGCCTTGCTCGCAAAGAGTCAGGCACGGATCCACTGTTACCTCTGCCCCTTTTCGTTGAGGCGGCCGGCCGTGGTCCCAGCGGACTCCAGGTCGTCAATGCAACTAGCCACCTGCATGTTCCTGCTTGCCCTACAAACCGCTTACTTACAGTTGGAGGCGGCGATCGATGGCAGCAGCAACGCCAACTTCTTGAAGATCCTCTCAACCTTCAGGATACAGGTGGGGGTATTGCATGAGGTGCCTGGGGCCAGGTCACGCCAGCCAGATTCAACAGGTTTGGGGGGTGGGGAACGGAGACAGGGTGGGGACAATCGATTTCCAGATTTCCAGCCAGTTCATTTGCAAGGTTGGCACAGCAGCGGCTTTGCTCGCAAGGCGGGCTGGTTGGAAAAGGTTGCGGCTGGGCAGCCCAGGACATGCTCCTGACTGCTTGACCGCCAAGAGCAATCTTAATGAAGAGCGCGCCTTTACAATGACCTGGCCATCGTGGCACCACCCTGTAACGAACAGCCTGGTTTTGTGCCACACTGCAAGACATGAATCAGCATCAACGCCCACATGCCCCTTGCTCTTCCATGGATCACCACGCCAGGCTGTTCGGCTGCAGGAGCTCAAGTTTCAGATGGCCGTGAGAGACCAGATCATCTCAGAGCAGGTGACTCGTGACACGCAGGAAAGCCTTGCGCCCGCTGCCAGCGGCTGCTGGCGCCTGCTGGCGTGCAGCGCAAGCAGCAGAGGGGGCTTGCCGTTGGGTCTCAGCAACAACTGAGGACGCCATGCCAGTCGTCGAGGGGCGCGCCTGGCCACTGTGCGGGCCTACTTGCAGCCCTCAATGATGCGCCGCCCGTGCCGCTGGGCCCCGCACCCCGGCGAGCGTTGGCCCTGACGTGCCCCGCGGCTCACCCACGGTCCCGCACAATCGCACGAACGACGCATGTGCGTGCACAGCGCGAGGTCATCTCGAACGTGTGGCGCATCCTGGGGGCCTCTGGCCTGACGCGGGAGGAGGTGTGTCGCGCCATACTTTGTCTGGTGCCAAAACCTGACCGAATACTCTGCCCGCTGCCTGAATGCGGAGCTGTAAGCTGGCAGTCAATGGCAGTCCAGGCCCAGTCCGCCGCCAGTCCATTCCTCAACCAGTGGCCGCGGCCTGCAGCAGCTGGCCACAGGCCGGCCAGCCGCGCCTCGCGTCTCTCCTTGACGCGTTTATGCATGCGACGCGTTGGTGGCATGACAGGTGCTGGAGATAGCCCACCAGGAGGGCATCCTTATGCAGGTGAGTGGGTGTGTGGGTTGGGGGGCGGAGTTTCAGGTGGTGGCGCAGGGCTATTGCAATGGGTAGGCAAGGGGCATTTCTCAAGGCCTTGAAGCTGGGCAGGATGCTCGGGGCGGACGATTCTGTGCGTGCGAGGGGCTTGGATGGTGGTTTGAAAGCAATCGGCTTGGGGCTTGTGGGAGTGAAGAACGGCAGTGGACAGAGACGAGCAAGGTCCAAGGGTCTAGGACAGGGGAAGGGCACTACGCAGGGGCGCAGGTCACAACCAGCCGCATCAAGGCCGCGCCCGACGCCGACAGCGCCCTGACACGCTCAAGCCACAACGCATGCTTGTGTGCGCATACACTCACACTCACACTCACACTCTCACACATACACCGACCTACACACACAC